ATGAGGTATGGATGTTGAAAATGCAAGAAGGCATTTAAGCATATGTGTAACTAACTAAGGCTAAGGAGAGAAAAATATTTGTGAAATGAAAGGTCCCACATAGGGAACCTTTAGGTGGTGCTCAGGTAAGCCACTATTTAGAAAATCTTTCTTGAGTGGGCATGACTCTTGGAGTGAGTTTTGTTATGAGTCTCCTCTAGTCTTTAGTTAGTGGTTGAGTGAGGTAGGAAGTCGAGGGCTACAATCCTTAACCAAACACTTGGAAAAGGTTGTGTGGTCCCTTGAGGATGGTTAGTGGGCTAACTCCACATGTGACTTGGTAATACATGTCAAGGTTGTGGTATGTCCATACTCAACTATGTCATTCCTAATTGTGGAACTGAACTTTTCATAGTATAAGTAATGAAGGCCAAGTAACCAAAGGAGGATAGTTATCCCATTGCGGTGCAATCTACCTGGCATCATTAGGCATGAAATGGTTGGATTGGTTCAGTAAGGTGTAATCATTTAGACTACTCAAGTTGATAGGAGATCTTCATAGATAAATGCGTGACAATGCATTGGTTGATGTAGATGCATATGATGTTTATTATTGTATGTTCATATGTATGTTTAGATGTCTTGTTTGACATGTGATGAATGTGATATATGCTTGCTTGGGTTAGAATAGATGCATGTATGTTGTATTATATATAATAGTTTTCTATATTTACATGTTTGATCTCTAGTTTACCTTTTTGTTTCTATATGATTTGGATTGTAATAATCATATGAGTATGAAAGCAGACAAAAGATAGACTAGAAGAACATCAAATGGAAGGATGACAGACCTTTTGCTAGTATTGGTGCTATTCTGATGTAACATATATAAGAGTGTTTGATTGACACAAGGATATAAGATTATTTCTAGATGACTATATATATACACATATAATTTTATTCCTTAAAAATCCGTTACATTTTAATTATCTAGTTAATTTCTACTGCTAATCACAATAATTTTATTATATTATATATATAATAAGACAAAAACTCACTCTAATCTATCTTCATCCCTGTTAATTCTTCTCTACTAAACATAAACTAACATTGATTGGTAGGAAATCCACTCATGTGATCTACGTCATTTGGTCCTTGACCAAAGAAGGTACGTGTACTAGTAAATCTATAATATGCCACACACTTTATTCAATTAACTAATTAAACTCATTGATAAATATACTATTACTTCTGTTTGATAGCTTGATAAATATTCGGGTTCATAATTATTTTTTACTTAATTTTTTATGTTTTACACATTACAAGTAACTTTCTTTTATATATATTTCTATTCAATAATTATTATTCTTACTTCATAATTATTCTTATTAAAGATATTTAATGAAAAAATTTTAAACCCAACATAATAATATTAAATACTTCTTAAAGAATACAAGAAAAATCACAAATATAAAAAAGTACGATCTAAAAGAAGTATATTTTTAATGATGATATATATATTTATTAGAATTTATATATTATGAATTTATAATCTCATGCAAGCTTCAATCTGTGACTAATTAAAGATAACATTCTTTACCATTCAATTTATTAATATTATATTAGAGTAAATTAACTGAAATTAACCATTGAATGGGAGGTAAAGATGGTACATATGGAGAAAGCAGTTAGCACTAGAAAAAGGGTCAACATTCACTCCATTTGTCGGTGAAACTATAAAGCTTTCATCTTTAAAAGGAAAAAAAAAATAAAAAATTACGCAACTAGGTAGGGTAGGGTCCAACGCATAAAGATAGATACCAATCAAAATCATCGCATCAAAACGTTGCAACTTTCCTTCTTCTGTAATGCAGTGGGAATCCGAATCCTATCCTATTCTTAAAGGGAAACTTCATTCATTTGTACCACCCATAATTTATTCTCTTACATCCATACTTTATTAACCATAAACTCTTTATTTGATTTTATTTATAAAAATTAACCGACAAATAAATATAAGATCATCAAAATGACACAAAATATGTTTAATGATATTTTATATAAAAATATATTTTAGGTAATTATAGTTTTATGTTTTTAAAAAGTATTATAAGTTGACGAAATAAATTTATATATATATATATATATATATATATTTATTTATATATTTATTTATTTTAATGAAATAAACTTATAAGTTAATTAAATAAATAAAAAATATAATTTTATGATTTAAAGTTGAACTGTATAGTCTGTACCTTAGTAAAGGGCCAAACCGCCGAATACGCTAAGTTGCGTTCCCCTTTGTCGGTTTCAAATGAATAATATAATCTCAATATTTTAATAATAAATTGGTTAATATATATATATAAAATATAAATTAAGTATAAATGAGATGTTAGTGTTTTTTTAATCACCCTGATTAAATTCTCTAACTTTTCGGTGGGACTCGAACTTTTTAGGATTGCCAGCTATGAGGCTAATCATGTCTTAGTCACACTTAATATTTCTTATCCATCTTTAAGAATGTATTATGTTGCGGTAATCAAATTCAAGTCTTTTCTTCAGCGAATATTGTGAATGTGTCTAAGGTTGACAATAAAATGGAAAGAGTATGATTTTCAGTAATTTTTTTATTTTTATATTATTCATATTTATATTTATATTCAATTAAATCAAATATTTTTTTTATCACAATTAAGTATTATTTATATATATAAATTTAATTTTATTTATTATCCCTTACTTTTATTGGATAAATGAGAAATTAGTATTGTTTGATGGATTATACATGCAGATGAGTTCAACAAAATTTATACAATTTCAGGTTTATGTTTTGGTTTTTAATTGATAGATGAAACATGTTAAATTTAGATTAAAAAATAAATTTAATTATGTTTTTAAATTTCCTAATCTTTGATCGTTTATCCAAAATATTAGTACCGACAAAATAAAAATGTGGACATTGATGATAAGGTTGAAAAGTAGAAAAAATGTTTGGGTTTCTAGAAGAGATTCAATTATGAGTTAGGAAGATAGAGAAGCATGTTGCAATTTGGAGTTTGGGCTCAAAAATCTTCACTCATTTCACTCTTATCTGACAAGTGGATCCCACTCTCGTTTCAACATGCTAATCCTATCTATCCATGTTGCCAAACTTCGCTTTTACCTCTTTCTTTTTTATTTATTTATTTTTTTAATCTCAATCATCCATTACCCTTTCTTCACGATTCCTACACCTCACATCAATGCTGTCTTCTCAAATTAATATCAATACTGAGGTCAACGTTTACTAGGTTGAATAATTTGTGAATTATTCTAAATTTTTTGATATGCCCTTTGGTTTTTATAGATAAGAAATAAAATCAAATGAATACTTAAACTTTATATACTTTTTTATTTTATTTAAGAGTAAAACTATTAGTATTTTTTTTTTATCAAAAGATTAATTTTGACTAACAAGAAAAAATGAAATTCATTTAGAAAATATGTGTCGGAAAGTGTAAAATAAAATATGTAGTAAAAGAAAATATTTAAATGGTACCTTTTGTTTTCCTATAATTTTTCATATTTTTAATAATAGATATTTTTAATCTTCATATTTTTAAAAATATGTAATTAAAGTTTTTAATTAAATTCTTTCATTCTTTACCAAAAACAAAATAAAATCTTTCATTTGGCCATTTAAGTTTCAATATTGTTACTTGTCAATGATTTATTATTAATATTTAAGTGATGTGTCAATTAGTCTGAAAAAAAAAATGTTGATATTTTGAATATTTGTGTTTCTGTTTTATCTATGAAAGTATTAAAGAGATTTGGAAGCAATGAGAGATGGTATGAAGTATGGTGTGCAATCTGTTGAGTACTGTGGAAAACAAGAAATGGAGTGATGTTTGCATAAAAGACTTAGTGTGTTAATTCTATTATATATTATGCAAAAGGGTTGGACATGGAGTAGAAAGAAGGAGGTGATGCGTGGTAAGATGGTTTGGTAAGTAACAGAATGAAGTTGGAGAACATCACGTAATTTGATGGACACCTTTGATCCATACACAAATTTTTTGATTGCTTTCCATGTTGTGATGCCTAAGCAAGCTAGGGATCACAAATAATGTTCGATATTATGTATTTATTCACAGTTTAATTTGAAAGGCATAAATATTCATGACTTGTAAATGAATTTAGCTGCCCTTTATACTTATATTTAACACTCTTACATTTGATTGCAAGGATTAATTTTACTTATGTTAAAAATATATATTTATATTATTTTTGTATTCATATAATATGACTAATCATTTAATTTTTAAAAAAATATATCCAAAAAATAAAAGTATTCATGTTGAGTATAGTCTCATTTAATAAAGTGAATTTTAAAACTAACTAACTTCATTTAATAATTAAAAAAAATGTGTATGTATATCTATGATATTTATTAAAAATTCGTTATGTAATAATTACTTTGTACACAATAAATAAAATACACAAATTCAAGTATTATGAAATGAAAATTTTAAAATTATTACTTGAACAAATAAATTTTTTTAAATGTTCTTCAATACGTGATTTCATAATTTCCGTGTCCTATTCACATATCATGATTATTACAGTTCAAATTATATGAAAAATTTATTATCCAGATTTTTTTTTAAGAATATTATCAGTTAAAAAGATCACCTCTCATGAATAAAAAAATATAATCTTAATTACTAGTTTTCTTATTTTTTTTTAATCACCTTTTATAATTATTTATCCTAAAATACTTTTAATAAATAAAAGATATTTTGATTTGATATTATTAATAAAATTTAGTTATATGTTTTTGTTAATTAAAAATGTAGGTGGTGGTGTTGAATTAGATGGAAATGGAAAGGGTGAAAATAGAGGGCAATGAAAATAGTAAGATGAATTATTGCAATAAAGAAATGAAGAAATGAGATGAATTGTTTATTGGTTGTTGTAGAAGCAATTAAAAGCAGCAGCTGTTGGTGGCAGTTGCAGCCAAAATCCAAGAGAAGGGAAGAGCCACAGTTTTGGCTTTCAGTGGTCAGTTTGCCAGTTGCCGGTTTTCCCCAAACCTTCTAGAACACCCACGCCCTTTATTTATTTATTAATTCAAAACTTATCTACAACGCCATGTGCCTCCTTATAAAAGTAAAACCCTCTTTCATACTCATCATCACATATTCAACAAAAACCCTCTTCTTCTCTTCCTAAACTCTCATAATGGACTTAATTTCAGGTATTCCAGAAGACGTTGCACGAGACTGTCTAATAAGGCTTCCCTACCACCACTTCCCCACGGTAGCCTCCGTCTGCAAAGCCTGGGGCGCCCAGATTCACTCGCCCGAGTTTCACCGTCAGAGGAAAACAGCAAACCACGCCCAGAAAATCCTCCTCACGGTTCAATCCAAGATACAAACACAAATAACTAAAACCGGGTTGCTGGCGAAGTCCGCTTCGAACCCGGTTTACCGCTTGTCGATTTTGGAGCCGAAAAGCGGTTCATGGAGCGAGTTAGGCTTGGGAGAGGAACTGGGTTCGGGGTTACCCATGTTTTGTCAGATAGCGTGTGTGGGGCATGATCTAGTGGTAATTGGGGGGTGGGACCCAGAATCGTGGAAAGCGTCGAATTCGGTTTTTGTCTATAATTTCTTGTCGGCTAAGTGGCGCCGTGGGACCGACATGCCGGCTGGGCCCCGCACGTTTTTCGCCTGTGCGTCCGATCAAGATCGGACGGTGTACGTCGCGGGCGGTCACGACGACGAGAAGAACGCGCTCAGGTCAGCGCTTGCGTATGACGTGCCGCGCGACGCCTGGGAGATGCTCCCGGATATGGCGCGTGAGCGCGACGAGTGTAAGGCGGTGTTCCGTGGTGGCGCGCTCCGCGTCATCGGCGGCTACTGCACGGAGATGCAGGGGCGGTTCGAGCGGAGCGCGGAGGTGTTGGACGTGGGCGCGTGGAGGTGGGGCCCCGTGGAGGAGGAGTTTCTGGATGAGGCCGCGTGTCCGCGCACGTGCGTGGACGGTGGGGCGGTAATGTACATGTGCCGCGGCGGTGACGTGGTGGGTTTGGATGGGGACACGTGGCGGAAGATTGCGAAGGTGCCGAGGGAGCTGCGGAACGTGGCGTGCGTTGGGGTGTTGGATGGGGCGTTGGTGGTGATTGGGTCGAGTGGGTTTGGGGAACCGCATGTGGGCTTTTTTTTGGACCTGAAGAGTGGGGCTTGGGCTAACCTTGTAAGCCCAGAGGAGTTCACCGGGCACGTGCAGTCTGGGTGCCTTATGGAAATTTAGGAGTTTTTTTTGTGTAGATTGGAAGCAACATTTTTGGATTTTGGTTGCTTTCATTACTCAAAAGAAAAGCTCCATCACTTTTCAGTTTAGCTTTTAAGGAGTTGTGTATATATGATATCATAGAACCAAGAAAAGTGCAAACATGACATGATAATTGCCATTACAAAAACAAGAGTGTTTGTGAAGTTGTGCTATACTTCATTCACGTTTTGCAAAAAATGAATTAGTGATCTCATTTCTCTAATTTTTTGGTCCTTCTCAACAATCTTGTGTAAATATTATGTTTTTAATTTTTTACGAGACTTGAATTCTCATTGTTAAAAGAAGGAGTTCAAATATTAGTTAAAACCAACCATTCATTGGTAATAATCTATGGCTGACTGAACTTTTGATTAGTCTATCTCAATTATTGAGAAGTTTACTTAAATATATCACTTCCATTTTAGCAAGAGAATATAAGTTCAGTAATGCACTTAAAAGATTTGTCAATTATTAGCATTTTTCTAACACCATGTTTGATAAATGGGAAGGTGTAAAAGTGTGTAGGAGTGAAGAATGATAGCGTATTTGGTAAAGATGATTTAAAGAGAAATTTGTAATAATTAAAGTGAAACTCATCGAAATAAACTCTTTTTCTCATGTGAAAAGTGCATGAAAATTAGGGGCGGGTTCAAATTAATCCAAACTAATCTATAATTGATCTAATTTATATTAAAAAAATTAATTTTTTTTGAAATTTTTTTTGAATCAACTTTATAAAATCGGTTCAGTTATCCGATCTCTTTTTACAAAGAATCAATCTATTTTATAAAATTGGTTCAGTTATCCGATCTATTTTTACAAAATAAATCGATTCAATTTTTAAAAATAAATAATTACACTACATTACTGATTTATATGAATAAAAAATGAATAATTGCTATATTGAATCGATTCAATTTAAAAAAAATCAATTCATATTTTTAAAAATTAAACCGATTTATTTTATAAAAAATAGATTAATTAATTGATCTACTTTTATAAAATAATTAGATTCGATTTTAATTTTTCAAAAAATTAACCTCTTAATAAAAATTACACAAAAAACATTGCACACATACTCATAAAAATATTAAATATACAGATAATTATAAATTTTAATTTATTTACTCTTAAGTTTTTTTAATCCTTCTCTCTCTTCCAAACAAAGCCTAAGAATAAGCACCGGACTAGTTCAACTTGTATTTCCCTTCTTTGAACATTCTTAAGATAGAGAAATGAACGACAAGATTGAAAAGGAATTGAGATAAAAAGCAATAATAAAACTATAGGTTAAGTTATCAATATTTTTTAAGTGCGGGGTAACGGCGATGTTTATGTTATTTTGCTGTAAAAGATTGGACAGTTATTTCAATTGTTTTTTGTCCTGGTTCCTGTGCAATTTGTAAGCAACTGTTTATTGTTTATTTTGGAGTGACAATTACAAATTTAAATAGTGTTATAGATTATGATTTGCTTTTATAGGGGATATTTGAATGTTTAACGTTACAAGTGTAATATATATGAAAAATATTTATTTTATATATTAAAATTTATAATAAATATATTTATTATATTATAACTATAGTTCATAATAAATAATTTTTTTTTGTAAAGATAGAAAAGATTACAAAAATAGTCGCAATGAGAATTGAACCTAAGTCCTCATACTTCTAATTATCCTAAACCCTCCCCATCCATAATAAACAATTTTAAGTTATAATATAAGTGTATTTATTTATTAATATTTTCTTTTAAAAAATTGAAAAAGATAAAGGAGAGTTTGTGTGTGTATATATATATGAAGCAACATTTTTGTTTTTTTTGGTTGCTTTGCTTACTCAAATTGATTTATGTTTTAAGAAGTAGTATATGTAAATGGAGTGCAATACGAAAAGGAAAAGTGAAACAAATGAAGAAGGCTTGCACTTCATTCACGTTTTGTCTAAAATGAAAAAACTAATTCGTCATACTTTTTCTTTCCCAAACTCTTCAATCCCTTTCAACCAACTTATAGAAAACAATTATTCCTCACAACAAACTTAATTATTCATTCATCTTCTTACTAAAAAGCATTGGCTAAGTTCTTGATTTTGTTGATTCCAAGTCTTTCTCTTACACGTATCAGAACGGTTAAATTCCTTGTCAATCATTTAAATTATATATATATATATTATCAATTAATTTAAAATCACATGATTTTTATATATTGTTAATCAATTGAAAATAATATAGTTTTAAAAGTAATTATTATAAAATTTAATATTTTTATCTACATAATTTATAATTAGATGAAAGTATTAAAATTTCTAATTCTATACAATTTTAAAAAAAATTAAGACTATGTGCCTATTATTCTAATCCTACTTTTTAACTTTCTTTTTTGTTGTAAAAAATTTAGACTAAAAAAATATGACTCTATGCAAAATAATTCCAACTTTAAATTTTTTTAATGAAATTACGATGTGTCTATTACATTCTAATGCAAATTCACTTTGGAGAATATAAAATATA